TATGATGTATATAATATTTCAGAAATGTATAATTTACCAAAATTACCTCTAGCAGAAAATCTAAACTGATTTCTAAAGTATAAACAGGGAAAGATGTCAAAGAACCCCTCCTCTCAAAAATATAATAATAAAGTACCTGAACTAGACAATTTCCTAGGGAAATTCTACTCAAACTTTTAAAAAGCAGAGAATTCTAAGTGTTTAAACTGTTCCAGAGTGCAGAGAAAGAAAGAATGCTACCAAATTCTTTCAATGAAGTAATCGTAATAGTGATCCCCCAAATCAACCAGGATTGCACATCAAGAAAACTACCAACCACATTTCCAAGGTTAAAAAGAATGCTATGATAATTCAACACTAGGCTATATGGAAAGCGATACCCTCTTGTATTCAAACCACAAGACATAATAGAAGGAAAACCCTCATTTTCAATAGCTACACAAGAGTGAAGATGTCTATAAGGAAATGCGTGAGATCATTATGAGGAAAGCTTTAAAATGCTAAACAATGAACACAAAAGAAGATATGAACGAATAGAAGAACATTCCACATCCTTGGATTGGATGACTCAATATTATAAAGATGTCAGTTTTTCCTAAATTACCCTACAGTTTTATTACAAGTCTAATAAAGATGTCAGCGGCACTTTGTTAGAATCATCAAGCTGAGGCAAAAGTTCATGTGGAAAAATAAACAAGTAAAAATAGTCAAGAAATGTCTGCAAAGGAAGAGTAATAGAGACAACCAGCCTCCATGTATTACACATATTACAGAGTCTTGGTAACCAAAATAGTGTGATACTGGCCCGTGAATAGACAGATATATCAAGGAACAGAATATGAAGTTCAAGAACAGACATAAATATATATGGCATTTTAGTAAAGGTGGCATTACAAATAGATGGGGAAAAGATGGATTATTTAATAATAAAATTGGGTAACCTCTGAGAAAAGAAAAGCTTATTCCATTCCTGACATCTAATAGCAAGATAAATTCCAAATGCATTAAGGTTTTAAGTGTTAAAAAAAAAAAAAAAAAAAAAAAAAACTGGTTCAAAATGCCAGGAGATATCATAGAATGTGAAAGGTCTTTCTAATTATTACATGAAACCCAGAAGCTATAAAAGGAGAAAGATTGATAAATTCAACTAAATGTTTAGAAAACATTCATGGTAAAAGCTACCATAAGCCGAGTCAAAAGACAAATACCAGTTTGGGGAAATATGTGAACTTATGTCACAGACAAAACATTAATCTCCCTAATGTATAGTTTCTAGAAATCAATGAGAAAAAGACCATCTAATAGAAAAATGGGCAAAAGATACTGACAGTTCACAAAAAAGGTAATATGAATTTCCCTTAAATATACATTAATAAGCTCACTCATAATAATAAGAGGAATATTAAACAAGTTTTCATCTAACAGATTAACAAAAATCAAAAGTTCAATAATTCACTGCTTTGGGAAACAGCATGGGGTAAGGAGTCATTCAGGACTTGTTGGTGACAGCGCAAATTGATACAACTTCTATGGGGGGCAGCTTGGCAATGTCCATCAAATTTACAACTATCATATACTTCTAGAAACATACTCTAAGATAAACTCATACGTTTGTGAAATAATGTGCACACAAGGTTATTTACTGTGGCACTGTCTGTAATAACGAAAGAGTGGAAGCAGCCTAAAAGTTCATTAATGTCCATCAATGAGATCAGCTAAGTAGAGTACAAAAAAAAAAAGCCAAACCCGTTGCCCTCAAGTCGATTCTGAAACATAGCAACCTTACAGGACGGAGTAAAACCGCCCCATAGGGTTTCCGAGGATCGCCTGGTGGATTCGAACTGCCGACCTTGTGGTTAGCAGCCAAACCATTAACCACTATGCCACCAGGGTAGAGAATAAAACCAAAAAAACCAAACCCGTTGCTGTGGAATAGAGAATAGTACATCCATAAAACGGAATACTATGGAGCTATATAAAACCACAAAGAAGCTCTTTACAAACTGACCAATACAGAACAATCTCCAAAATCATCAGAGGAAAGAACATATACACACACACAAACAACTCTGAAAACTTACAAGACTGTTAACTGTGCACCAGGGAAGAAGAACTGGGTGAGAAGAGGAAGTATGAAGGAAACTTTTTAGCAAATAGCCTTTTATATCTTTTGTATTTTTTAAATTTATAAATAAATCAGAGAGGTCAGAAGGCCTTGTAAGTCTAAGTATGAAAATGAACTATAGAGATAATAAGTTGTAAGAGAAATACAGGTTAAGTGAGAAGAGAATAAACTTAGCTTTCAACTTCCTCCTCCTATTTTGAAGATATACATGTCTTCCTCCAAATACAGCTTTGCTTACTTTCACAGGCCTCTACCCTTACTTAACTTTAGACCATTCTGCTTCATTCATCTCAAGAGATGTCTTAAGGTTCCCAATATTTTTCCAATCAAAATCATGTTAGTCTACTTCAAGCTCAATATATGCTATGTGCAATTTTAGGAGATGGGTTCCAGAGAAACCATTATTGAAATCTGGAGGGATATCACAACACAATGGAGTCCCTGAGTGGTGCAAATATTTAACAAGCTTGACTGCCAACCGAAAGGTTCCGGTTTCAAGTCCATTCAGAGGTGCCTCAGAAGAAAGGCCTGGTGATCTACTTCCAAAAAAGCAAGCACTGGCAATTCTATGGAGTACATTCAATTCTTACACACATGGGGTTGCCATGAGTTGGAATTGACTCCACAGCAACTGGTTTTTCACAATAAAATAACAAAGCTTGAATCATTCACGTGAGGCAATCGTAAAAGGACAAACGTTATCTTTTGTAGAGTACTTTAAAGAGACTGAGGTTAAAATAAAATCTTGCCTTTTATTTGTAATGTGTTAAAGGCTACTTTAGTATTATTTGGAGAATTAAGGATATCCTCTCTTGGAATTCTTAGCTGTGAGAAGTGTGCTAATGAAGGTAAGCCTTTAGATAAATTAAGAATGACTAAAATCTTACGTTAAATAACCATAGTCTCCTTGGAGATATACAAGCCCATATATTGGGATATGAGATAATATTAGAATTTCTATTTATATTATTTTATCCTATTCTTATAATCTATGTTAGTAGGTTAATATATGATTTATAATTAATAAATTAACGTGAATAAATTCTAGTGCATGCTCAATCTTATTTTATTCACAGGAGGGGATAATCTAAAAATGTTTGATGACCACTACCAAATGATTTTTTTTTTCATATAAATAAGGAAAAATTCCATGCACTACAGAATGTTCTCATCAGGCATAGTGAGAAGCAGCAGCCATGAATGAGGAATTTCTAAATGAAATATTATTGAATACAGCACTTGGCAAAATGCTATCTGAAGAGAGATTCCTAATAAATAATAGGATTTCCAAGTTAGAGAAAAACCTTGGAGATCATCGAGTCCAAATCTCCTTATTTTAGACATGAAGTAACTGAGGATCAGGGAGAACAAATATTTTTCCACGTCACATAGCTGGCTCATAGCGATAGAACCAGGTATAGAACCCAAATTTCCCAAACATTTGTCCTCACACTATACAATATCTGGATATACCAGTGAATAATGAAAAGGGGAAGGTCTTTGAAATTAAGTAGTATACCAACCCAATATTCTCACTACTTTTCTATTTATCCATCTTTATTTTTGCCTTTTTTTAACCTTCCCAAAATCACACTCCATTTTAGAAAGTGCAGTAGTGAACTGATTTTTAACATGTTGCTTTCTCAAACCAATCTAAGAAGTTCAAACTTGATGTTCGTTTTTTTTTTTCCATCTCCTCTAGCAGAAACAGATCCCTGAACTCTAAACGCCTTGCTTTCTTACCAGTAATCCTCTGAAAACAAACCAGCACGAGAACTAGGAATTAGAACGAAAGAAAATGAAAGGTGAAATGAGCTGGGGGTGGATGATACAGAAGTTGAATTGCAAAGACACAGTAAGACTTGAAAGGCCATACTTAGGGGATAAGAATGTAAACCTGCAAGAACAGATCCTTTATTAACTCCTCAAACCCATCAGTCTGATTTTGGTTTGAATTTTCTCCAGGGCTCTTAAAGCAAAAACAATACCATGAACATAACAAAACTGAGAGTATGTCTTTAAAAAAGAAGCTAAAGAGAAATGGAAGACATTTACCCAGATAATTCAAACCATTTTTAACACCTTGATTACATTTGTGTAGACCATAAAACGTACAGCTAGTGTTTGACTCTATTCAAGTAGAGACATTAGTTACAACAATGGCTGTATGTTACTTAACCAATTTTCTCATATATGTTGTTAGCAACACTATAAAACAGAATAGAACTTCCCCATAGGATTTCCCAGGCTAGTATCTTTGCAGGAAGCAGAGCACCAGGTCTTTTCTCCCAGGAAGAGGCTGGTGGGTTTGAACTACTGACCTTTCAGTTAACAGCCAAGGGCTTAACCTGCGCCACTAGGGCTCCCTGTCATACATAAAGTTGGGAGAGTTACACCTACCAGGTTGGGCTGTTTGGAAGGTTAAATGGCAAAATGCGGATAATCGCTTAGCAAAGTGTTTAGCATATAACTAAGCACATATAAAAATGAACTCTTTTGAGTCACTCACCTCCAGAGGGGTGAAGTGACATACCCAAGGTCTCATATTTTGTGTTAGGCAGGAAATTTAGAAACCCAGACTTCTCCTCTAAGAAGACTGAGACAATTAGGGAGTTGGCTAAGTCAGAATGCCTGGGATAGGCAGCCTCTAGCGTACCCCTTGCCGTAGAGTCGATTCCGACTCACAGCGACCCTACAGGACAGAGTAGAACTACCCCATACGATTTCCAAGGAGCGCCTGGTGTATTCGAACTGCAAACCTTCTGGTTAGCAGCCGTAGCTCTTAATCACTACTCCACCAAGACTTCCAGGAAGCCTCCGGCAGAGCCGGACCCACCCCTGCAGTTGGCCTCCACCTTCTTCCTTCCAAGGCAAATATGAACTACATATCCCATCGGCCCCGGGGCAGCTTCCGGTGCAACACGCCGGCGATCTACTTTACGGCCGCAGCTTTTACGTCAGTTGGGTCCGAAGACCTCTACGGCTGAGACCAAGTTTCCGGAACATGGGCGCTTTCATGTCCCAGCCTCTGGACAGAGGGGAGGTCGTTGCGCCTCCTGAGGTTACTGCGCCCGCCAAACTCGCGCCCCTCTCCGCATCTGAAGCGCCAGCCTCTCCGGCGCGAGGCCAGCGGTTTAATAGCTGCTGGAGCTGCCGCGTGCTCTCCGGGTCGGGGCTGATCGGGGCGGGGTTGTACGTGTGCAGTGCGGCGCGGAGGCGCATGAAGCTGGGATACACCCCCAATCCAGGCAGTGCTACGCAGATGGTCGTCGGCGTCAGTGAGAATCGGGGCGCGGCCTCGTGGACGGCGGGGCGGGGCGCTCGGGCTGGTCACGTGGTGGGGGCACCCCAAGCAGTATGCACAAGGGAGAGAGAGTTGTTGGAACGCTTTTCTTTTTCTTTAATTGCAGTAATTTTAAGAACTCGCCCTAACCTTTGTTTAATCTTCATGTCATCTATCAGAGTATTAAAGTGAGATCACAATATTCCCATTTTACTGCTGAACAAACCAAGTCACAGAGTTTATCCTGTTCAAGGTCAGACAGGCAGGAAATGACAGCCGAGTTTTGATCCTAGTTTTATCTGGAACCAAAGCCCATGCGTTTTCTCCAAATCCTGAAGAAAGCCTAAAGGACGGCACTTCACCTTGGTTTAAGAGCTTGGGCTCTGAAGTCAGATCTTAGACGTGGTTTCAAAGCCTCGTTGGTGTGCTACTGGGAAATGGGGCTCAAAGTCCTTATCTGCAGCAATCCTAAGTGATTGTCACGAGTTCTAAAAAAGTAGTGATTCCTTTAACTTTTCAAACCAGTTGTCTGGGTGAGTAGAATTTTAGGTTTCAGATTTCTTACCTTCTTAACCAGGCTGCCAAGATAACATCCTTTTGTTAAGTTCCTTTCTTGCTTGGGGAAGTATCAGGATGTTCTTTTTTTTTTTTTTTTTGGTTAGTTTTTTCACTTCTTGAGTTTCAGTTTCTTCTTTTGTAAGAAAGAGATAATGGTAATATATCTTCCAGCAGTGTTGTGGGGGTTAAATAAGGTGGCATATGTGAAAGCACTTTGTAAACTAAGGTGCAGCATGCATATATGGTACTGGTTCATTTATTTTCCTAGGCATTGCAGCTTGGGGCCTAATTATCCTGGCAGACCCCAAACGGAAGGCTTACCGTACTGATTGAAAATACCTTCAGTGGATTTGTCATCTCCTGTATCCATCCTCAGGACACACAGAGCGAGCATGGGGCTTATGGATGTATATGGACAGACACATGGACAGACTTCAGCCCTGCAGATACTACAAGACTGAAAAGTCAAAGCAGGAGTTCTCATTCTTTGGCCAGGAGTGTTTGTGGCCTTTACAGGCTCTACAGGGACCAATAAATCCCTCAAAAGAGAGCAGATTGTGTGTCTTATCTGGGAAAGAATGTGTAATAAAAAAAAGGAGAAGAGAGAAAATGGGATAAACTTTTTTAAACAGTTCTTTTTACTTCGCACATAATTGGGTCAACACCTATCATCAACCTAACCATGGATAGGTGCCATGCAATATGCAGAAGTATGTGAAACTTCATATCTGTGTCCTGCTAATACTTTCCAAGGCATTTGCAAATCCATCACCCTATGAGAGCTTTGTAGCTGCTCTCATGTTATTTTGTTGACAGTGAACCTTAAAACAGAGAGTCCAAGTGATTTGTGTAGTCATTCAGCAAGTGAGCGATGGAACAAGGACCGTACTTGAGTTTCCCGGTCTTACTGAACTGGGATGGTGCCGGGGAGGCAAGACCAAAATGAAACGGAAAAGTCAGCCTACAGTAAAAGACCTAAGTGCCAAAATATTTGTCATAATAATTTTTTAAGAAAGGTCATTTGGTTTCTTTTTCCACAAGCTCTAGAGGTGTTTCTCTGATGGAATTGAGATGCTTTTCAGATAAGAACTGAAAACTTGACAGTTTAAGAAGCCTGTGCTTGCTGCCAGTCTTTTTTGTTTTTTTTCCTTTTGCTGAGATCCTGTGGCATCTCTGTAAAGTTATATAGCCATCTTTCAGAGCAGAGATATTATTAAATTTAGCGGCCAATCATAGTGTAAGATTTGAATAACACTGAGTAAGTAATACTTTTAGGGCGGTTATTTTCTAGAATTATGTGGAAATGGCTGAGTCTATTAAGCATCACAAATGGCATTAAGACTCTTGGATTGTCTACATCAGAGTTCATGGTAGTGGTGGCGACGCGCGCGCACACACACACACACACACACAATAGTGCGGGTCAGTGGTAGAATTCTTGCCTTCCATGTAGGAGACCAGGGTTCAATTCCCAGCCATTGCGCCTCATGCACAGCCAACAGGCTTCCATCAGAGGGGGCTTTTAAGTTGGCCATGATGCTGAGCAGTTATCAGCAGAGCTTCTAGACAGAAGGACAAAGGAGAGGTCTGGTGATCTGGTTCCAAATAGCAGTGAAAACCCTACAGATACAATGGTTCGATCTGAAACTGATCATGCGGATGGCGCAGGACAGGGCAGCAGTGTTTCATTCCATTGTGATGGGGTTGCCATGAATTAGTGACTGCCTCAATGGCAGCTAGCAGCAACAACATGTACATAAGCAATCGAGTAGGAAGACATTTCAAACAGCCCAAAGTAGACAATGAGGTATTATTTATGCAGAATATACAATTAAGTTAATGTGATTTTAGTGAATACAGAATTTTTAATTAAGAAGGAACAAAAGAGGTGATGAATCTGAGTTGCCCATCTAAAGCAGAGTGCCTGCTTGAGGGTCCATGAGTCATGGTCATCCATCCCTTAAAAGACCTATGAAGAAAAGTTGCTCCCTGCTTTACAAGGCACACCGTTCTATTACTGGAGAGCTGTAGTCTGAACATTTTCTTAGGTTAAATCAAAAACTTGTAAGTTTAACTTATTGGTCTTGGCTTGATCTGCTGGATAAAAGAACAACTCTTAAACTTATATATTGTAATATAATTTTAACATCCTAGAGTTTTTATGAGTCTGTAAGCAAATAAGCTTTTTCCACATAAACTTGCCTGCCCATCAGATGTTTTGCCGAAATATGCTTGTTCTTTCCAACTTTGAGCAATTTAGCTGGATAAGAGCAAAGTATTGTTCTACCATGCCTGTAAGGCAGTTAAGTGGTAATAAGCTAAGGAAAAAAAAGTCAGAATTTGTAGTTAAAAAGAATTTTAAGCGTATTCCCAAAATTGCTATGGTATCTGCCAGTGTTAAACTAGACATCCTAGTTTTAGGGATGTGTGTGATATTCATAGAGGTTTCAGAGAGGAGAGAGACACCGCCAAAGTCCTGTCGTAGAGAAAGAGCACTTCGTGCCCCCGTTATCTTCCCTTTTGTCGGGGATGTTGCAGGGTAAGCAGGATATACAGGCTCAAGAATCAATGGATTATGGGTGATGTAAGGACACCAGCTGAAGTAAGATTTATGGGCCTTACAATCCTTTTACAACATGGAGATTATTTATAAAGGTTCATAATTATACCTTTAGCAAAGAAGGTGAGAAGAGAAAAAGTACAAAAAAATGGGTAATTTAAAATGCACTTACACTTCTCCTTGGAACACAGAGACCAAAATGTGAACATACATGTGAACACTGACGTTTTTAACAGAATCCAAGATACCCATTAGCTCAACCTTTGCTTCTGAGTATAAACTTTGATATCTCAAGAAAGTCATGACACCATCTCTTCTTGCCGTTGTGTATTGTACTGCTTAGTCTGGAAGCCTGGGACCAGGATTGCTAACAATATGTGTGAACATGTTAAAGGGCCCTAATTAGACTGGAGGAGCCCTGGTGGTGCAGTGGTTAAGAACATTGCTGCTAACCAGAAGGTAGGCAGTTCGAACCCACCAGCCACTCTAAGGGAGAAAGATGTGGCAGTCTGCTTCTGTAAAGATTACAGCTTTGGAAACCCTGGGGGGCAGTTCTCTGCCCTATAGGGTCATTGTAAGTCGGGATCAACTCAACAACAAAAGGTTTAATACAGATTGGAGGAGCCCTGGTAGCACAACAGTTAAGTTCTTGGCTGCTCACCGAAAGGTTAGCAATTCAAACCTACCCAGAGGCTCTACAGGAGAAAGTTCTGGTGATCTGCTCCTGTAAAGATTACAGCCTAGAAAACCCTGTGGGGCAGTTCTGCTCTGTCACATGGGGTCATTATGAGTCAAAATTGATTTGATATCCCCTAAGGCCAGTACAGTTTGAACTTCAAGGATTTTAGTGTGGTGGTCGTTTGGTGGTGAGGGCTCTTTTTTCCTCAGCCAACTGCTCAGTCAGAAGTTGTTGGTGGCCCTGGAGTGTCCCAAATGTGGATCAATCTCAAAGGTTCTGAAGTTTCACCTGGAGAAGACCAATTGCAAAGACAACCCTTTCTGGTGGCCTTGGAGGTTAAGCATGTCAACATGATTTGTATGTCACTTACACCCACAGCTTAGCATTTGCCTGTTGCTCTATTTTTATTATTGGTTTTCTTAGCCTGGCTATGACTGAAGTAGAGGCCTCCCGAATAAAGCCAGTAGGTTTGACATTATAAAATATATTGCTCCTAAATATATGTTCAGGGCAAGCATATGTTCACACACCCCCTCAAACTAGGCTTGGCCACAACTGATTTACTGCTAAGACAACATTGATCAAACTGACACTTCTCAAGTCTCAAAGTCAAGAATAGTAAGCAACTTTGGAAAAAGCCACTTTTTTTTTTTTTAAATCACAAATTCTTGCCTTGACCCAATGATTATATGGGTATCAGGGCACTGAGTCAGAAGCGAAAGACCCATAATTACATGTCATTCAGATATGTCCCAAGAGCATGGGGCGAAAATATGTCACTCTTCTAAAATGCATGTCTCTTGGCCTTTGAAATATTCAACAACTTGTCATTCAAATGTAAATGGAGTATAGAGAAAGAGCCAAAAGGGCAAATGTTAAAGACAGCAGTGCCACTAAATATCACTGCTTCGTTGTGGGACTGAACTTGAAAGTGCTTCTGGAATGTAGCAGAGAAAATTCTGAAGATGGTCCTCAAGGCTCCCGGGCCCTGGTGCACACACTCCTTCTCCCAGTTAACCATAACAAACACCACTGTAGCTACTGCTGTGAAGGCATTGTGCAGATATGATTAAGTTTCTAAACTAGCTGCCCTTAAAATAGGGAGATTATCCAGGTGGGCTAATCATATAAGCCCATTAAATCTGGGTTTAGAGGTCAGAGACCTAAAGCACGAGGGGGCTTCAGTGTGGTGGCTTGCGTGTTGCTGTGATTCTAGAAGCTATGCCACCAGTATTACAAATACCAGCAGGGTCACCCATGGTGGACAGGTTTCAGTGGAGACTCCAGACTAAGACTAGGAATAAGGACCTGGTGATCTACTTCTAAAACAATTGGCCAATGAAAACCCTTTGAATAGCAGTGGAACATTGTCTGATATAGTGCTGGAAGATGAGCCCCTCAGGATAGAAGACACTCAAAATACAGCTAGGGAAGAGCTGCCTCTTTGAAACAGAGTCAATCTTAATGATGTGGTTGGAGTAAAGCTTTTGGGACCTTCCCTTGCTGATGTGGCACAACTCAAAATGGGAAGAAATAGCGCAAGTATTCACTAATAATCAGAATGTGGAATGTACAAAGTATGAATCTAGAAAAATTGGAAGTTGTCAAAAATGAAATGGAATGCATGAAGATCAATATCCTAGGCATTAGTGAGCTGAAATGGACTAGTATTGGCATTTTGAATTAAGCAAACATATGGTCTACTATGCTGGGAAAGGCAAATTGAAGAGGAATAGCATTGCATTCATTGTCAAAAAGAACATTTCAAGATTTATCCTGAACTACAAAGCTGTTAATGACAGGATAATATCCATAAGCCTATAAGGAGGACCAGTTAATATGACTATTATTCAAATTTACTCACCAACCACTAATGCCAAAGATGAGGAAATTGAAGATTTTTACTAATTTCCCCAGTCTGGAATTGATCAAACATACAAACAAAGATGCATTGCTAATTACTGGTGGTTGGTATGCAAAAGTTGGAAACAAAGAAGGATCTGTAGTTGGAACATATGGCCTTGGTGACAGCAATGACACTGGAGAGCTCATGATAGAATTTTGTAAGACCAATGACTTCTTCATTGCAAACACCTTTTTTCAACAACATAAAAGGCGACTATACATGTGGACCTCACTGGATGGAATACACAGGAATTAAATCAACTACATCTGTGGAAAGAGACGATAGAAAAGCTTAATATCATCAGTCAGAACAAGGCCAGGGGCTGACCGTGGAACAGACTGTCAATTGCTCATACACAAGTTCAAGTTGAAACTGAAGAAAATCAGAACAAGTCCACAAAAGTCAAAGTACAACCTTGACTATATCCCATGTAAATTTGAAGACCATAGAATAGAT